CACGACAGTGGCAAGCCTGGCGTCGATGGAGTCAGTGGGTTTTAGAGACTAGTTCGGGGTGTACGTCAGGATTGTAGTGCCGGTCGTTTCGAGTTGAAAGGAGGAATTACAAGATTATTAAAGGAAAGATTGTGTTTTTTGTAATTTTGGTGTCCATGACCGTACGTAGTCATTCGATGAAGTAGACATGGTGTTAATTTTTGTTTATAAGATATTTCAATTGCTAGATTAACCTAGAAGTCCACTTTGTATCCTCGAACATGAGGTGCAGGGCTACCGCCAGAACAGAGCCAAATAACACGTAATTTCACGACCAAAGTTTCACGACCATCGCGGGTTTTTTCACGACCAATCCAGCCTTATGGATTATAGTGTGTTTGGTCGTGACAATAACTTTAATATAATTGTAAATTGAACAGTTTAGTTCAATTGAAACACATACTTTTTTTATAACTAACAGTATAATTTAAGGATTGTTTAGAAAGATTTAGATTAGTCCAGACAATTCACGACCGTACCGATTGTCCCTGACCATCACGTTTATGATTTCTATGATAAAAATTTAAAACATTAAAATATTGTCATATTTCAATGTTTTATACACAAAAGAAGCACACCTCTATACAAACATAATGATTTTTCGGGTCTCAGGTAAGTTTTTTTCGGAGTTATACAAACTTAAAAAGATTTTATTGGCTTTTTTTCAATTTTTTGAGTTTTTTTTATTTTTTTCTAGAAAGACCGAATATACCAAAAGCTCAGTGACCTTTTTATTGTATAATGGTCGTAAAAGTAAATTAGTTTATAGCAAAACATAGTTATAAAAATAATATTAACCATTTTTAATATTCATTTAAACGTCTGTTATGGTCGTGACAGGATTTTGTGTTTTTCCACTAAAGATGCTCTTAAAAAAAAAAAAAAAAAAAAAACTACCAAAGATATTGCGTTACCGTGGACATTTTATGAAACTTCAAATGTTAATAAAATAAAAAAATAATAAAAGTTTTGAAAAAAGAGTAAAAAAATTTGCAAAGTGCTTTTCCTGAAAACGTACTTTTTTAAATTTTTACTCATAATAGCATTGCAAATTCAAGGAATCTATGAACAGCTGTCATTTTTTAGTAGAACGACAGTTTGGATTTGCGGTATTGTGTTTTACTTCCAAAAACCTTTAATTTGATGTGCATATCAACCAATGTTTACATTTAAGAGTTTCTTCTGACTCCTAACGAGCTGTCTCCCTAAGCAGGTAACGTATAACCACAGAAAACATACTACTATTACCCAGAATGCTCACTGCATGTTAAACAGCGTTAAGTACTCGGAGAGAGCTTTGCCTGTCAGTTCGTAATGCTGGTTGTATTGTATGCTGGTGGCGCTGGCGCTGCCTACGAATTGACAGGCAAAGCTCTCTCCGAGTACTTAACGCTGTTTAACACGCAGTGAGCATTCTGGGTAATAGTAGTATGTTTTCTGTGGTATAACTGTGTAATGTGTTAACATTATTAACTTTATTATTGATTGAAATATATTTGACTATTCCGGGACTTTTTATCCACCCTGTTTAGCCCAAGTAATTTGAAAGAATGTGTCATTTTTAGAATGTAAGTTCTATCTTTATTTTATTTTTTGAAATATCTAATTTTACCAAGACTTTTTTCCCAATCTGAATATAGATAGATGAAGGGCTAAATAAGCCTAACTGATTGAAGATTGGCTTACATGTGAGACTCGTGGCACCAAAATTGTCATAATATGAAATTATTTTTGAAATTTTAATATTTTAATAGGTTGTATTAAAATGAGCCAATACCTTAAACTTCAGAACCGTTATACAGGGTATCCATAAAAAACGTTTCAGGACTTTGGGAAATTAATCCCCATACTAAAAGGAAGAAAAAAATTTATGGGAAGGTATGTCCGAAAATGTATATTTAGTATTTACCCAGATATCCGCCATTTTTGTTTATTATACAAAAATATTTTTATCTGTGAAGTTTTTTATTCGATGATTATGAAATTTGGTAAACATGTTAACATACACAATACATTTTTTGTCCGATCTTTTTGATCTTGGTATTGTTTGATAGGCAATTAAAAATGCAAAATACCCCTGCCGCAGCAAACCTGCAGACTAAGTGAATTTCCATTTGACTGATTGGATTTACACTGAAATGTCTACTTAAAAATATAACATTTATTCCCTACTAGCAGAGTACCCGTCCTTCGTACGGGATTGGCATATAAGTTTAAAATGCTTATTGCAGTTATACTCAAGCTTTGCGTTTGCAATGGGGGACGACAAAGTTTGATAAAATTTGCTTCTTTAAATTGACGGTATACTAATGGTATTACACATCTACCATAGCCAAAATGTTCAACGACTTCACCTAAACAATAAAGAAAAAGAATATATTACGAATTCACAAAAAATCACAAATTATTCCTGACATTAAATACATAAACATAACTATAAACAATCCTACTTTGACAGTTCTCATTGCGCATCACAGTTTTTTGTTGCTGCTTAGTTCAAATTAGCTGTTTACATAAATTCAAAAAAAGATTATAGTGCTAAACCCTGTTAGGAAATCTTATAACTTTTTTATGCTTTTGTGTATGATAGAACCAACTTTTTTTAGTTGAAACAGCTGACTGAATTCTTTAATTCCCTTTAAATATGAATATTCATAAGGTTAACATGGGGAACTACAGAACCACTGGGGCGGAGCCCGAAAGGATTTTTCAGATAAGAATATGCCTATATGTTAATCGGGAATGTGAGCTATCATCATGCCAAATTTCAGCCCAATCCGTCCAGTGGTTTATGCGTGATTGAACTTCAAACAAACAAACAAACAAACAAACAAACAAATAAACAAACAAACAAACACACAAACTTTCACATTTATAATATTAGTAAGATTTAAATAGAATTAGTTTAACAAGTACTTAGGTTTGCTGCATCAGGGAGGGTAAAACTGTTTTTTTTTGTAAAATGTTAATAGTTAGTAAGAAATAAAAACATTTTCCAAATTTGATCAAAATATGTTCATAAACAAGCAAACTACAACAGTTTACTTATTCTCCATAAGAATACATGGGAATTTTAAATTTACAAATTTTTGGAATTTTCTCCGCAACCATTAGGCGCATAATAACGCTTCAGTATACCTACTAAATTATTTGTTTTTTTAAGCTCTAAAAAATGGTTTGGAAAGAAATAAATAAAATTTTATGTTTTTTGGGTCAAAAATGGGAAAAACCTATTTTTACCCCATAAAACCCCCCGTAAACCCCCGTTCCCATGGTCAGATCATGCTGGATCGCAAACTCGTTCGAATAAACCTAGGTTTACACGTTTGTACCAAATTTCATCAAAATCGGATCATTTTTGCTCGAGTTATCGTGCTAACGGACACACATATATATAAATATATAAATATATAAATATATAAATATATAAATATATAAATATATAAATATATAAATATATAAATATATAAATATATAAATATATAAATATATAAATATATAAATATATAAATATATAAATATATAAATATATAAATATATAAATATATAAATATATAAATATATAAATATATATATATGAATTTGAACGGATGGTGTTTTTGGCCTCTAGGGACCTCAAAACGAAAAAAAAAATCGGTCCCGCATCCAGGTCCATGAATACTACGGTAATAGCTTATTCCCTATATGGGAAATTCGTTAAAAAAAGTATTCTTGACATTTTTTCATAGAATTAGCCGTTTTTGAGTTATTTAAGTTAGAATAATTCAAACGGCCGCCATTTTGAAATTTACAATCGGAACAACTTTATTATTACTCAATAGAGGTTTATTAAAAATGATAACCATCTAATTACACACAAAAAAATCAATTTACGGGCAAAGGACAAATTTTGATACAATGAAATAGTTATTTGTGTAACTAGTGGTGAAAGTGGCACTTTGCTGCACACGAGAGCAATGTTTACGCACGAGCCGCAGGCGAGTGCGGAATGATCTCGAGTGCAGCAAAGGCCTTTTTCACTCGTGTTACACATTATATTTTTCCTACAGTCACTATAAAGCATATAAATAATTAGTCTTTCAAACACTATACAACACGTTTTTAGGTTCAGCTGGCAACACAAATGGTGCCCTAGAGAAAGTAGTACCCGCGGTCCGTATCACTCCGCTATTTTTCCTCGGCAAGAAATGTGCTCCGCGTTTTGAGAATATAGTTCCGTATGTTTTTCTAATTTGAAGTGGTTTCCGAGCCTTAAAAAAATGCTTTAAAGGTATTTTCTTGTTTATTAAGATCGTAGGAATGTTTTAAAAACGTTTAAAAGTAAAGTCCAGAAAGTTCAGAAATACCGAAACTATAAACACGAAATGACAGGTTAAATCGTAGTTATAATAGTCAATCAGCTGCTCATAGTATTATTATCTTTAAGTGTTGCCAACCTATTTCCAAGCGTACACGGATTACGTGCATAATATAACCACGCTGTTTTGTGTTGTTTCGTTGGAATCCTGATGTGCGGCAAAGTATAAACCGTACGGCAAAGTATAAACCGTACGGCAAAGTATAAACCGTACGGCAAAGTATAAATATGCAGCAATTAGCAGCTTTCTGTACTATAAACAGTACAAGGAAGCCAACTTTGTCGGGTGACTGTAGGAAAAAAAACTATTTTATGTCTCTGTAAAGTGTGCTATGTGAGTGTCACATGTGTGTGTTTGTGAGTGAATAGTGTGCTATGTGAGTTTACAGTCTAGGAATCGGTGTCTTTTCTGTCAATGTGAATGATGTTGTCAGACATAGTATTTCTTATCTCATTAGTGGAGTTTGAATGACTAGTTAATGATGTAATCTTCTTTGGCTAGTGTAGTGTTTATTCAAAGTACTCATAACTTAAGACCAGGCCTATTTCTAAAAGTGTTATGCTGGAATTCTGTGTGGCATTAATTCTATCACTGTTTTTTCAGAAATCAACATCAAAACTGGTTAAAGACAGAAACGCTAGCCCAAGCGATTCATTTTTACATGAGGATAGACCATTCTTGAAATTCAAAGGAAAAGTTAGACATTCAAACAAAATTGGGGACTGCGGATATGTTTGTGAAGCCATTTTGTAAGTAGACCTATTATTTTCGCAATCTTTACAGTTCGGTACCGATGGAAAATAATTTTAATCAAAATAACTAACCAACAGCTACAGTGATTTAGCTATTTGAACCCATTTACAGTATTTTTTTCAGTATCATTATATATACATATATGAGCAAATTATCAATCTTTTTCTTCTTTTGTAACATGCCATAGGTAAAATTTTATTGACGCTTGAAGGGAGCCCTTATAGATGTTACTACCTACTAATTTGTTTTAGTGGAAATATGTCATGATTTAGCAAATTTAATCAATTTTAACCCATAAATTAGCAGAGAAATCAAATTTTCTCAAAAATGGCCCGAACAGTTTTGATAAAGTTTAAGTATGTTATATATAGCCCTTTAAGTTCTGATCAAATTGTATAACTCCCTTTGCCATACAAACTATGGTTCAAACGTTATTGTAACTTCCCCTATAAAATATCATAGTTACTCCCACCGCTTACCCATGATAAAGGTTGACAAGCTAATTAGAAAGTGCGAGTCAGATTTGCTGATACCATTTACTTTACAGAGAGAAACTTGAGGGTTTAAAGGAGCTTGTTGTGGGGTTCGATCTGGAATGGCCTGTTCAATGGACAAAGGGAGAAAGTCAGCACAAAACTGCCCTTATACAATTCAGTCCCAGCGTTGGAGTTTGTTATATCTTCCAGGTAAGTCTCAATGGTTTGGTTTATATTACCTATGTTATGTGTGTTATTATTGTACCAGTGTTGTGCCATTATAGCATCATGCCAGTACAAAGAAAACAACAACACATCCTTGATTATCAGTCTTAAAGCAATGCTAAAAATATCCCAACGTAGCAAACCTGCAGACTAAGCGAATTTCTATGTGCCTGGTTAGATTTTTAATAAAATATCCCCGTAAAATTATCAGATTTATTTTCAATATAAATAACATTAATTTCAATGAGTGCTTAGCTTTAAAGTTAATTATGTTATCCAGTTTCAAGAACATTTTAATTAAGTCACCTTTTATTTTGTAGAATGCCTTTAGCTTTGTCGCCACAGGGAAAGTGTGTTCTTAATTGAAATGTCAAACGTTAAGTATGAAATAAACAAATTTGCCACATTTGATCAAAATACACCCCAAACAAGAAAATTACAACAGTTAATTTATTCTCCGTAAGAATAATAAGTTTAAATTTAAATTTACAGGTTTTTAAATTTTCTTTGTAACCATTAGATGTAAAGAAACAACTATTTAGCTTACTTACTCCTTTTTAGTTTTTTTTTTTAAGATTTATAAAATGGTTTAGTAAGAAATTGCAACATTTTATGTTTTGGTTTGGGGGTCTTAAATGAGAGAAGCCAATTTTTAACCCATAAAACCTGTTCCCAGTCTGATCATTTGTGTTTGCTAACTCATTCAAATAAATGTAGGTTTAAACATTTGTATCAACTCTTGTCAAAATAAGATGATTTTTACTTCAGTTATCAAGCTAACAGACACACATACATACAAATTTGAACGGTTTGGGTTAAAAAAAAATCAGTCCCGGTTTGAGATCTTACCACTAGACCAATGTGATAGCTTATTCCCAATATCGGAAAATTGCAAAACCAGCAAAATCATTCTATGTATTGCTCTTTCATTTTGCCTTTTCAGGTCTTCCTGTTTGCACCATATCCAATCACCATTGGTTCCGCTATTGTATTAACATGCTTCAGTCTCGCTTAACCAGGCATCTTGAGTACTAGTAACAGACTGTATATTGTCTGACCTGTTTTGTTTATTTATTACCTTTTATGATTGAATTTTCAGTACATTTTTGTTATTATTAGTTTAAATTCATATTTACCTTTTGACACACAATAATTATCTATTTGCTACACTCAAGGTGCATTTCCCTCCAACTTCAGTAACCCCCTGTGTGCTACACAATTAAGCTAAAGAACACAGGGCAGTTAGCAACAGGAGGTCACAGGGCAGAAGTGTTTTCCGAGAAATCCACCACCATGTTGGGTAATTAACATGTTTGGGGTTCCCATAGTAGTGTTCTGTTTTGAATCGGAAAAATAAGTGGCTGAAGAGGACATAGTCCTGAAACCGCCTCAGTTTAGTAACACTTGAACGTCACGTTGAATTTCAACGTATGGTTGATGTGGAAGGGATGGACGAAGATGTGGACATAGGTCTAGTAGCTCTACTGACCAAAAGTAAAAAAAATCCTAGTGAAATGTTTATATTTAGGAGCAATCAGGGTGCTTTTAGTATTCATATTAATAGGCTTCTGATATATGATAAAATAACATATATCAGGATTAGGTATTTCCTGTCTTGTGGACTTGGTGCGTAGTGATATAACTTGGAAGCCAACAAAGTTAGAACAGAACATCAAACTCAGACACACAGTAAATTAATAAACTGTTGCATCTACAGTGAACTTAATAACATCACTCAAACTATAGTTTTCTCCATATTTCTAACGTGAACAACTGCCCAGTTCAGCATTGTGGTTTGAAAATGACTGCTCTTGAAGCAGTGCTCCCAATCACACTGCACAGTTAGCAGTTAGTCGGGCACCGCGTCGCTATGAAAACAGTCCCATTAGTTTCTAAGGGGTAGGTGTTTCTCGTAATCGTGTAGCACGAAGGACACTGTGTAACAAGTTTATAAGGAAACGCCACTTTACGATTTTTCCTGCTAGGGCTGTCTTATAACCTTGTGTCCTAGGCACTGTACTAGAACTGAGGACTAGATTACAAAGTAATTTCTTTAAATATTACCCAGCATTACCATTTATGTCATTTATGTCACACAAAGATTTTTATAAAATGTTAGCAACCTCATAAATAATACTCTACATCAAGAAAATGTTTGCTATCCATACTACCAACATGCAAAACTAAAAAAAAATTGTTTAAACTCCATGGTTAAGAATTGTTGCTTAAATACCTCTCGATAAAGGTAATAGTGAGCACCCCTGTTTCTTATGTTTGTATGTCTTTCAAAAGTAAGTTTTTTAAAGTTTTTTTAAAAAAAAGTCCACCTTGGTATTCTTGGTCAGTAGCCTATCTTCCTATCTCATCTGCGATGCGGGGATCGAGCTGTGGTCAAGTGGTTAGAGCGTGGGACTTTGGTGCCTGAGGTCCCGGGTTCAAATCCCGCCAAATCACCAACGGATTTTTTCTAAGTGATAATGCCGAAACCCCTAGGTCCAGCCTGAAGTAATGTGAAAAACAATCCCGGGCTCGTGCCTAGCGTCCTAGGACAAAAAAATCTCATCTGCTATGAACTTCGAAGGTTTCAGTTATTTTTAAAAACATTGTATTATTCCACAGGTGACAGAATGGAAGAAATTACCTAAAGTGTTCATCGACTTCATCAGCCATCCCAAAGTGCGATTGGTTGGAGTTAATATCAAAGCGTGAGTCCACATTAATTTGAATACTTTTATTCTTTAATTTTCTGGTTGATATTTTTAATGTCTTGCTTCAATCACATAAGAGGTTCAACTGTATTTGTTTGTTTTTAAAACAGTAATCTTACTATATTTAATCAAGAAAATATTAGTTATACAACTGTTCGGCCATACTTTATACAGTTTAATTAATATTTCAAACTTGGTTACCAAACAGATAAAAGAAATTTATAAGTTTCGATTTTGAATGATCTCAAAGTGCCTGATAATTTTTGCAGAGACATCTGGAAGCTGGGAAGGGATTTTGATATCTCTGTCGCCAACATCGTAGAGAGTAATGTCATTGAATTAAAATCTTTAGCAAACCAAATCTTCTCTACTCAAGAAATGTGGAGCCTAGATCGACTTGTACTGTATGTGGTACGTACCACATGGTATGTGGTGATACCATGACAATTATTGTGTACAAAAATGTCTAAATTTAGTCTTTTACTATTTTTAGAACATAATTTTAGTTGCCAGAAATCTTACAATTTATGTTTAAAATACTGAACACTTTGAAATTAGTTTACAAAATAGCTCTATTTGTTGGTATTTAGTTTAAAGACATATTTGAATTTAGACAAAGATTTATTTTTTTATTTAATATCCAAACCATGTCAAATGCATAATTTTGTATGCCTAACGACAAATAAAAATCTAACGTATGGATTGTTCACATTCTGCTTGGAAATTACTGTACCTATATAGACACATAAAAATAAATCTGTGAGACTATATTATATTCAAACTTTACAAGCTGAACATTAACGGCCCTCGCTGAATTTAAAAGCACTCAATATCATAATTAATAAAAGATAATTAATAAACAATCATTTTTGGAATAGCTTGAATAAAATGAATATGCACCAATCTCAAAAACCAATTTCATTCATGAAATTCTTTTATTTTAAATAGAAATTTTAGTAAATAAAATCTTTTAAGTTTTACTCAATATAATATTGTGTTATTTATTGTTAGCTCAAAAAACAACTTGACAAGTCTGATGTAAGGACCAGCAACTGGGCTCAAAAAACCCTTACAACTCATCAGCTGGGCTATGCTGCCACGGATGCTTATGTGAGTACTGAGTAAACTAGATAATATGTTGCTCTAAATAGAGCAAAACCGCAACTTGTCATAAAAGAATAAAGAAGGAAAACAAAAGTAATCAATATATCTTTAATACTTTAATACTTTTTTGCCATTGAAATAGCGACCATTCAAAGTAGGTAACTTCACCATATGTTTCCTGAATTACTGACCTACTTACAATTATTCAATATTGTAACACAATAATATGTGGACCAAGATCATTGTGAATAGGTAAAGACACATCACCAAGTTTCTGGGGGAAATTACCAAGTCCACTTCTACTTGTAAAGCATGCAAGTTTGTTGTTCATTTGAATTTCATTATGCTTAAAATTGACCACTGCGTGAATGATTTTACCCAGTTTTCTACAATAGTGGTCTACGATGAATGTGTAAGAACTTGCAGCATTTTATTGAAAGACGACACATAGTAAAAGTGTTTTCCCCCCGAAAACATGTCATGGATCTTCAAATTGTAGATCCGATTGGTGGTAGTCTCATCTAAATGAGCTTCGGAGCTGACCATGACAAAGGTGGAATTTAATTGACAAATTTTATCCAAATAATTTACGAATCTAAGGTCTTGCAGCCCTGTTTTTAGATTGGGATGAATGACAATAAGTTTGAAGAATGGCAATAATTGAGTTTCCAATAAGTTCCTGAAAGTATAGTGAATTCCACAAATGAGGTAAATGAACCTTTCCTTTATGGTAACAAAAAGTAAAAAAATTAACTGTCTTAGCCAATATTTTCTTGCTTAAAATGAAAGGCATCACCATATTAACATTAAACTTTCTTTTGTCCGAGGTTAGATGTAGCACCACGACGGTCTAGTACTGCCGCTCTGTATCCATCAAAATGTTCCATTGGGAGGGTGTTGCAAGCGGTCACGTTCGCGTTCCCTCCCGCCACTCGCAATTCTTGGTCTTAGGTGGCATAATAATACAAAGACATAATGATACACATTGTAAATTACATGATAAAATGGTAAAGTAAGGGTAAATGCATTGCGAATAAGCACTTTTAAACATTCACTTCATTATACCGAACTGTAACCAAAACTATGTGATAATTCAGTAAAATACGATCTAGAATGTAAATCAATTTAACTATTGCAAATAACTTCATAAACAGATTTAAAAATACAAATATAAATAATTCCGACGTTACTCTGGAAGTAACAAGTCCTGCAGTCTGTGATTAACCTTAAGAACTATGTCAAACGATGTCCATATGTTTAGTTGTAAACAAAGTAAATTAAGTTTGATCCAATGACAACGGATAGCACCACCACTGTTCTGAAACTGTTATCGAGTTATGACTGTGAAAAGAAAATTGCTTGCGTATTAATATATAGATGCATCCCCTGTTAACCGACCCTGATTAACTTTCTCTTCCCTGGTAAAAATAGATGTTGGTTAATTTCCCCTGAATTTTAAAACTGATTGGTTCAACTAATTTGAACAAGGAATCTAAAAACTACCATATCCATCCCTTGGCCGCGTTTACACTAGAGTTAAGAACACGTGTTTACAACAAATGTTCCTAACAAACCAAAAAGAAACACTAATAAAAAAAAAACATTTTGATGTTAGGAACATTTTTTTAGTGTTTACTACAAAAAATTTGTTTCCCACCAGAAGTCGGTAAATTAAAGAGTGTTCCAAAGATGAGGAAACATTTGTTACGAAACAAATCTTTTGATATTTCTAAGCTGTTTCCAACACTTCCCGCTACCACACGTGCCTACCCACCACCAGTTAACCACATGTCGCCCCCTCAGCGTCAGCTGTGTTCTCGGGAACGGTGATTAAATTGTTCCCAACAAAATCAAAGAAAAGTGCACTATCCGTTGTAAACTTTAGTTACAAACGAATTGTTAGAAACAAGTGTTACCAACAAAAATTTCCAAACATTTGGTTCCAAACCCCGGTATAAACGACGCTTTATCTCAGTATAAAATAGAATCGTGTCCTTGTGGGTCTAGTTTTATATGAAACTGACTTTTCCATAAATTTGTAGATTTAGAGTATGATTTTCTTACAAAAGTTTTCCTATTTTTAAAAGTAAGTGTGCAGTGTTTTTATAGACGGATGGATTTTATACATAGTACAGTAAGTTGGTTGCTATGCAACAGCTCACATAACCATGAAATTCTTGTTTCATAACCGTTCTGTTTTGAAAATAACCATTCATCGTTATTCAAGAAGAAATTGTATACAACCTAAGCAAATAATAATTTATCATGAATCTGAGTTTTCATTATACATAATATACATTTGTTTCATTTAAATAGTAACTGACCTTTGAGACTATTCGACCTTGGCTTTGTCCTGTGAAGATCAGTTAAGAGGGTGTGTACTGTGTGAGGTGTTTATGTCGGGTAGGGGCACCTATCCTAAACTTACCTCCGATTTGCTCGGACAGCTCGAGTAGTCCAGGGTCTCGCTAACAGCCTTCATCGCTCGCTCACTGCTCCCGGTCCTCGTGAATTTACTGTTGCGTCGATCTACTAGTACACAAGTACACACTGTGTACATCGGCACGTCGACGCACCGAACACGAATTACTATCAATGAATACACAAACTATAGTTACTACTATAACTTGGTATCATCAGCACAGCGACGCACTGACAAAAACCAAGTCGCAGCTAACTACTAGGGGCCGATAGATAAAATAGGCGAAGATTAGGAAATAAAATAGAGAGCCAGCTCCTAGGCTTAACGAAAGGAATCACTTCTCAAAATAAAACTAAAATAATCTTCTCGTAATTAAAAGAAAACGACGCTAACTCGCGATAAGTAAATAATAAAATAAAATAAAACGTAGAAGGCTTATATGCCAATCCTTCTAGGCTTTAAGGAAAATAAATAAAAGCTCTTGATCTGAAATGAAACAAACCGCTTTGGATGCCTAAAAGAAGGCGTAGGCTACTGCGACACTACACTCGCAGCGTCGGTCGATAAACTACGATATTCTATAATAAACTTTGATAAACGGCCTAGAATAGCCTAATAAATAACGTAATTTCCCTCGCCAAAGTGGATACGAGGAGGGATACAACGTATACGCTAGCTATATACAGTGTACTTACGTAACACACGATACTTCCAGATTCGCATCGAGGTTTCTCACGCCTTCGTCCGGATACTTTATTAGGTTCGCTCGCACAGCCTAAGGAGGGTTGGTGTGCGCGAACTTATCGCTCGCCGCCGACTGCCCGCTCTTGAAGGAGGGTGTTTGGCGAACAAGCGCTCGCCATCAACTGTCTCAAGAAATGTCCACTGTCCACCGACCGGTCTCGGCTTCTCCCCACCACGTCTACGGCAGCGCTTCAAGGTGGCAGCGGCCGAGTCTCAAACTATGTAAGACACTGAACAAGTGGATCATTGTTGCCGTCTTGACGAATCGCCGCGCTCGAATCGTTCGTGTATATAAAATAAAAAATTTACCCCTAACACAATTTGACCATTACAACTGTATAACTGTATGTTGGATGTACTTGTAAATGGGAAGAAAAAGGTCATTTTCATTTCCCAGTAACAAAAACTGAAAGTCTTAATATTGTATTACAGGCATCTTTGCTGACGTACCTACGACTGAAAGAGATTGAAGAACAAAACTCAAAAGACAATGTCGCCTCATAACGCATCTGGAACCTCGGCCCCTTAGGCTGAAGTGAGGTATGTCTTGGTTTCTTTGTTTTGTTTATTCTTGAGAGACAAGTAAAACATTTAAGAAAAACCAACAATAATCTTTAAATTTACCTAGTAAACTTAAGTACTTGAACAATTTGATCTCTTTAATATGTGGTACCAGGAATAATAATTGTTGTTGAGTTTGTAGGCAGTGAAGGCATACCAAAAAGTGTAAATTAAGTATAAAATAGTAAAGTGGACCTGGAGACTTAGCAAATTTCCATTTAGAATAACTGATTAGTTTTTTACTCAAATATTGTATCAACATTTCAGATTTATTCCCTATTTAAATAAGATTAGGTTTAGTGAGTTAGGTTTGCTGCTGCAGGGAAGTTGATAAAACAGGGCTTTAGTTAAGTGTTAATAGCTAAGTACAGGGTGTTTTTAAAAGAATGCCGGGATTTTAAATGGTAATTTCTTGGATACTATTCAAGGTAACTAAACGTTTTATACGTCAAATTGGAGCTAAAATACTTAAGTTTTGTATCCCGTGTAGCAATGGAGGAAACTTTGACCTTGGCATGCGTGAAACAGTTGCGGGTTGATAGGCCGCTATTGTGACTCATAGGCCTGACGCCAGTCGCCAGTACGACGTTTACGGCCCAACAGAAGGATTGTATTCTGTAGTTCACAGAGTTTATATACATTGTTCAATTAAACTAAATTTAAATATACTTGATGATGAAGAAACTTGAAACTGGTTTAATGAGTTTCGTGGCTCCGAAATGTTTTGAAAAGACAATCACCTGGCCGGCTAAAAACAAGCGATGACATAGTCGAAGAAATCCTACAATTCTACATCAGAAGCCCGAAAAAATCGATTGTCCGACGAAATCTTCAGTTTAACAAACCTAAATTGGTCACTTTATGATGTTATATATAAAAGATAAAGTCTTTGTGCCGAAAAAGATTCAGTTAAGACATAATAAACCCACCGATCGCCCTTAGCGTAGCCTACAGACTTTACCAGTTTTACTCTTATATAAGACTAGCTGTAACCCGCGGGCTTTGCCCCGTTTAACTTCTTAATTTTCAAGATTATCTCGTTCGCATGGCTCAATCACGTCCTGGTTGAAGTTTGTTCGCTACGCTCACTCACCTTTAGGTTGGAGCTCGTTCGCTACGCTCACTCACCTTTAGGTTGGAGCTCGTTCGCTACGCTCACTCACCTTTTGGTTGCAAATTAGCTGTTGTCATAAATGTAAAAGAAATAATAGTGCTGCACCCTGTTGGTAATCCTTGTAACTTTAATGCTATTGAACATCATAGAACAGAACCAACTTGTTTAATTGAAACAGCTGTTAAGATTCAATAATTCCATTTCTCATAAGGTTAACATGGGAAACTCCAGAGCCACTGGGGCGGAGCCCGAAAGGATTTTTGAAATAAGAATATGCCTATATGTTAATCGGGAATGTGAGCTATCATCATGCCAAATTTCAGCCCAATCCGACCAGTATTTTTCGAGTTTACTTTTCCCATACACACATACACACATACAGCAACCACCTCTTTTTTATAATAGTATAGATTTATGAATATATGAATTTTATTAAATCATTCCGAATTGTATGAAAGACTGAGAAATAAACTTTATTCTTTTACCTTCAATTTGACGTCTAAATCGTTTAATTATCTTGAATAGTCGACGAGCAACGACCGTTTGAAATCCCGGCATTCTCTTAAAAACACCCGTATTTAAATTAATAAATTTTCCAAATTTGATCAAAATGAATCCATTTATGAGCAACTACAAAAATGTACTCAATAAACATTTATTTACAAAAATAACACAGGAATTTAAAATGCTGTCTTTTTTTCTACGTAACCATGAAACGCACAATATGCTTTGATGTACTAAATTATTTGTTTTTTAAGCTCTAAAAAACTGTTTTAAAAGAAATTGACAACAATTTTTATGTTATATTTTTATACCAATTTTACTCCTTAAAACCTTGTTCCCAAGATACAATGATCCCGAACTCGTTTAAAATATTGTTCTACATGTTTGTACCAATTTTCATCAAAATTTGGGCCATTTTTACTCGAGTTATCGCGCTTATGACTATAATATACAACCAAAATTTGAAACATCGTGCTTTGGGCCTCTAGGAACATCAAAACAAAAAGTAAATTAGTTCAGGATCTGATTTTGCCTTGAGGTTTACAGTAATAGCTTATACCTTTTAGGAGAAATTTGCTAAAAGTTGTATTTTTAATATAAATCCCAGCCAGCTATTCAAATGAACTCATACTGTATAAAGTTGTGACAGTTACAATACAGTAGCCACTGTAACTTTAGCTGAGTTTAAGAACATCCAAAGTATACATATTCAACAAACTTATAAAAAATTCACATATACGAGGGTCGTTTTTTAACTAAGACAGGAGATTTTTTAAATAATTGAATCTCCTGCCACATGCGAGATAACGTCAGTGATACGTCTTTTACCCCAAGAAACGTATTCGATGCCTACATTCATTGCCATAGATGACTGAAGGTTATAGCCCTAATGCATTGAGTGAGTGTTAAGTACAAAAATGGGTTAGGGTGTGTAAAAAGGCTCTGAAAAACTTTTTCCTTTTTCCTTTTAAATCTGGGTAACCACAAAAAACAGAATTCCTTCTTAAATATGGACATTTTCTATATGTTTCTTGCGATCAAAAAACATATCACTGTCCTTATCTCCAGTAATGCCAGTAAGTACATCATTGTGGTGTACATACAAACTACGGAGCCATGCAATAAAATAACCCATGCTTAAAAACGACCCTCATTGTCAAACAAAGTTATTTGATGGAATGGTTACAGATTCGTCCAATAAGATGAATTATTGTGAACGGCTTTGTAAGTAAGCTGTTTATATTACAAAGAAAAGGTTTTGTTTTCGGAATCTTTAGTACAGTCAGTGAAATATGAAACCAGCATGAAGATATGTTTAGTACTGTAATTTTAGTATTTATGTCTTGTTTACAGGCACTGATGATCAATTCAAAATAGCTAGTTGTGTAGCAGGATAACTGTCCATGTGAAGGAATGTACAAACAGAGAAGTTGACCAGCCAACTACAACAGTCGAGGCTCTATCCCAAGCCATGTGTCAAGCGCTAAACTTGTAAATTCCAAAAGTAAGGTTTGTGCTGACAGTAGAGTTTGAAAGCAGAGACTCCACTGGATAAGGGATGATTGACAAGATCTGTGAAATCGGACTCCAAAGCTCCAATTGGCTTGTGTGAAGGGGCTCAGTGGTTTATTGTTACTATCATGGATTTGCTGTAAACTGTTCTACTGCTTTTTTAGTTGTTTTTATTGAAAAAATGTGACATACTGTTTTTTGAAATGTAAAGTAAGAATTGGATATGTTAGGTTAAAGTACTATCATAGACTAACCAGCACAAGTAGACTCCTCATCCCATTGTAAATTTTGAAGCTTGTTTTTCGTGTCTAGTTCATGTACGGAGGCGCTAGTGTCGACAAAATTTTGTATCTATTATTTTAGGGTTGATTTCTTGATTTGTGCTTTGTTAGGTTATATAACTAGAGAACGAGTTGTTGTTTATGATTCGATCGTATTATTTGGTTAAACGAGGTTTTAAGTTACTGAAATAACTAGAAACAAATAGTAAGACCTCTACAGCACACTGTGCAGAACTAACAATAAAATTGTCTTCAGCTGTTCCATAAGGATGAGAAATCTACTAACAGAGTATGTTTAATCCATGGTACTATTTGCTAAGTAGCGCTCAAGTTTCCGAATAGATTGGCAGTCTGGAGATCTGTGTTTGATCCAAGATGTGTATCTGGATCTTTTGTACAGTGGGACCACCCTTTGAATTGGCTGAGGTTTACCATATCGAACATCCGTTGAAGGTCGTCAACAGAGTTCATTAATTAAAACATACGAGACATGGAAACTGATGACAACCTTCAAATGAAGTGCTACCTGACACCTTGTATGCCTAATGATAGTTCTTATAAAGACTCTCAACAACGTTGTCCTTCCACTTATCATCTTAAGATTAACAAAAGAGTGTCCGTTTAAGTACTTAAGTGATATTTATATTTTATGAAATAGTGAATTAATTTTTATAGTCATTAAATTTATTATCACTGAAAACTGTCAAGATTATTAAATACCTTTCCTACTTCATTTTAAGGGCAAAACAGCATTTGGTAGGCTAGGTCCAAAAACCTACATTTAACCCTGGACAGAAAATTGCTACGTTCAATCCAAAGTCAAATTAGTATGAAAAAAATCATAATGAAAACCAAACTAGCAATAAGTATAATGACAATGACCCAATAATATAATACAATGTGCCTTTAGTATTAGCAATAGCAATGCAAACATACAGCATAGTCAAACAGGTTTGTAAGGTATTTTCTCAACTACTGTATTATCTTATTCCCTGTATTCATACTTTTTCGAGGGTTTTCAGGAATCTCACTTTGACTGACACTCGCATAACCTTTATGTATTATTTCTCTCATACCTATTTATGATACAAAGTACAGTGCCATTTACAAATCTCACTTGCCCTGAGGCCAAGACAATTGTTAAGCAATCCTATTGAGACGGACCAGCTTGAATACGTATCCCTGAGTCCAGATTTGATGTGCCTGAGTGCTCCAAGTCTTCATGTTCTCCAGCAAGATTCTTCCTATACACTTGGCTCTCAGTCCTCTGCTTGTCTTTGAATGTCTGGGTGGCTCAATCATGGTGTCCCATATGTACGGTAGTAGCTTCTTCAACCTCTCGATGCAGCATTGCATAGCCAGTCTCTCTGCCAGACGTAGTTTGACTCTCTGAATAAAACAGCTATTTTTGTATAGTTGTGGAGGAGGCCTACTTGGCCTCCTTTACCTTGTCATATTACCCTTCTCAGCCGAAAAGAGCAGTAGATGGGGTATGCATTTGAATCAGTCATCAATAACTAAAATTAGGTTCTTAAACTTTTTAAAATTTGTTTGGCAAGTCCAGTGGTGTACCAATTCTCAGTAGAAAGAACACCTCTACCTAATTACACCTTCATCATTCTTGGATCTGGATGTTCTAGAGACAAGGGGGAAGCCAAAGTCAAAAGTATTTACCATTTTACCATTTACCATGGGTCTCTTCACAATCGTTGAGACTGGGGAGTCGCCAGTTCTTTTGATGTGGGAAGTTGTATTTTGTGTGTGCGTGTAAGTGTGTAAATGGTGTTGTTAGGTGTCTTAGGTTGTGTTTAGTTTCTGTTGTGATACTTATGCTCCTCATAAAATTCATTCAGGTTATAGTAAGGTCTATTTAACAGGAAGGTTTTGAGGGTTTTAGCAAATTTTTTATTGTTGTTTATGGTTTTGATATTTTCTGGGAGTGGGTTGAACAATTTTATTCCCATGTATGAGGGTGTTTTGCTTGTTTTTTGGAGTCGATGCTGTTGAAGGTTTAAATTGTTCCCTGATCTGTCATTGTATTTGTGGCATTCATGTCGGGATGGGGACGGATTTAGTTTGGTGTGGATTATGGTGTCCAGGATGTATGTGAGATGAATGTATGTTTGTGTGTCAGGGTCAGGATATGGTGTTAAATGAAGAGCGGCTTACAAATGGGCTTGGTAGTGAGCCTTGTCTATTAGTAGTATGCCTTTTTCAAAAGCATGAAAATTTGTGTCAAGTGTGTTTCGCCAGCTCCTCCCCAAGCTATATTTCCAAATTTCAAGTGGGATGCAAAAAGCGCATGGTATGCCATTTTGGTAGTTGTTGTATTAGGTAGTGATCTCTCTGATTCTTCTCAGGGCAAACAGGGCCGTTGATAGTTTCCTATGGAGGTTCTCAAGGTATGGTTGCCAGTTTAGGTTTTCATCCAGTATTATCCCGAGGAATTTGGTAGATTTTGTGTCTGAGTCTGTTCTAGTGTTGGTTGTGAATTTAATGTGGACTGTTTTAGATTTATTTATGGTTAGGTTGATGTCTTGGCAGATGCCACTAGCGGTTTGTATTGTTTCATCTATTTTTTTTTCAGTTGGTGTGTCAGGGACGATGATGGTTGTGTCATCTGCGAACATGATGCAGGTGTGATCCTCAGGAAGGAGTGTTGGAAGAGCGTTTATGTATACAAGAAAAAATAGAGGCCCAAGGACCGACCCTTGGGGAATTCCGGTGATGGTTTTTTTTTAAGTTTGGATCTTGATTTTGTTTTGATGTCTTTTGAGTGGTATTCTATTTCTACAAGTTGTTCTCTGTATCTCCTTTTTTGTATTTGGGGTAGACCAAAGCTTGTTTCATCGCTTGAGGCACTGTTGACTAATTGATGTGTTTATGATATCTAGAAGGGGTATAATCAGTTTGTCTTGGCAATGTTTTATTATCTTATTTGAGATTTCGTCCAGGCCTGATGAAGTTTTGGGGGGTAGGTGTTTGAAAATTTGCTCCAGATCCTTTCTTGATATTGTTTTGAAGTGTGTGAGGCTTATTGTTTCCCTGTTGTCTCTGGTCGGTTTTCTGTGCTGTTGTTGTGTTACTTGGGTTTGTGAGTGGTGGTTGCTGCCAACACTGACAAAGAATGAATTGAGGCTATTAGTGATTTTGTTCGGATCAGTAGTAGGTTTTCCATTTATGTTGTGGTCATATGTGGATTTTTGTGCTCTTTATTTTTCCGTTCTCTCCTTATTGTTTTCCATATGGTCTTATTTTTGTTGGAGGCATCTGAAATTGTTACAATGGTGTGCTCAAATTTTTTTGTTTAATGTTTTCATCATGTGTTTTTTTGAGAGTTGCATATATTTTTTCATCTTCCTCTTTCATGATAGTTGCCACTGGATCGTTAAAATTAGCACTAATAAGGTTTATGTTACCTGGCTTCTGTCTCCGATCCACGGTAGATTTAAGAAACTACAGCTGTTTCGTGCCTTCTACTGGCACATCCCCAGGTTTGGTGAACGCCAGCTTTTCTATAATATATCCCCCGGTGTTGAGTTCGTCATGGTTTTACGAAATACATGTAGACATTTACACACACGAAAACACGCACGAAACATTTAAACACTTATTAAGGAACGACTGCGAAACGTGATACGGCGCCGGTGATGTGGTTGTTCTTTTGATGCCCTATATATTTTGTATTCTTCTATTGTATCCATATGGCGTCCTTTACTGCAAAAGTGTTAATATCTAGATTATTGTAAATGTCTGTATAGTTATGGTTTGTGGCTGTTAGGTGGTTGGAAAAAGCTGATTTAGAGATACAAGATCACATGAACAATCCCACATAGATAACAACAACAAAACCGGAATCTATAGATTAAAATGTGACAACTGTCCCAGCTTTTACATAGGACAAACTGCCAGATCTTTCACAACCCGATTTAAAGAGCACCTACTGAAAAAGAACTCTAAATCAGCTTTTTCCAACCACCTAATAGCCACAAACCATAACTATACAGACATTCACAATAATCTAGATATTTACAATTTTGCAATAAAGGACGCCATATAGATACGTTAGAAGAATACGAAATATATAGGGCATCAAAAGAACAACCACATCATATTTTGAACGAAAAACAGTCCGTTGAGTCTAATATAATTTACAACACAGCCATCCTGATATCTGATTACCAAACAAAAGAAAGAATAGATAAGGATAGAACAGGGGTAGGGGTCAGCGCTGCCGACACGTGACAGTCGCGACTTACCCTTCATCGGCGCCGTATCACGTTTCGCAGTCGTTCCTTAATTAGTGTTTAAATGTTTTGTGCGTGTAAATGTCTACATGTATTTCGTAAAACCATGACAAACTCAACACCGAGGGATATTTTATAGAAAAGCTGGCGTTCACCAAACCAATCTGGATGTGCCAGTAGAAGGCACAAAACAGCTGTAGTTTCTTAAAACTACCGTGGATCGGAGACAGAAGCCAGGTAACATAAACCTTATTAGTGCTATCTTCCTCTGTGTTGCTTAGAATGAATTTGTTATGAGCTGTGCTTACCAGGTTCCTCTCCTCCGATGGATTTGATTTTGGTCCTAGAAGATGTAGTTGGGTTTGTGCTTTAGGGTAATGTACCTTTTTGGCATGGTGTCATTTATTCTTGTTATTAATATTCTTGTGAAATTCTTGTATTTCTCTTCAACACTTGGTGTAGAGTAAACTTCCTCCCAATCCTGGTTTCTGAGGCTAAGTTTCAGATGGGCAAGTCTGTCTGTTGTGGTCGGTCTAATGAGCTTTTTTGAAGGTTTATTTTGTTCAGCAGAGTGGTTAATGATCTTGCATTTAATCCCTAAATGATCCGACATTGGAAATTTGCAGGTGTTGAGGGTCAGGTTTTTTAGTCCCAAATTTGTAGCACAGAGATATATACTACTGATTGAGGTGGGGGTTATTCTTGATTCTTGTATAGGGGATGTCTCCACAACTCCAGCTTCTGGGTTGTGTTCCAGTAGAAAATGTTTAAGTTTGATGGTGTCGGTTTCTTGAGGTTGAAATGAAATGAAATGCTTTATTGTGTTAAAACTAAGTACAAAGTTGATGACAATCCTCAAAAGAAAAACAAAACACTCAAGATAGCAACCAAAATAACTAAAACTAAAACTCTAAACCAAAGTACTCTTCATGTTTATACAGGCAAGCCTGGGTTAGAGTAGTTTTTAAAACATGTTTAAATTTTGAAACACACAGGTTTTTGATGGATGCAGGCAAGAAATTGTAAATTTTAACACCTTGGTACTCATAACTATTTTGAGTGGCTGTATACTTATGCCTTTAGTGTAGACAGATTACCTATCTTTAGATCTAGTACAATAGTAGTGAACATCAGATATCTTTTCAAAGTGAGAAATGTTTTCTTTTATATACAACAAACTTGCCAAAACATACAAGGATGGAAATGTGAGAATGTTAAGACCCAAGAAAAGGGGCTTACAATGTGTTCTTCTATTCACACTACAAATTAACCTCACCACCTTCTTTTGTAAAGTAAAAAGCAACCTGTTAGCATAAAAACTGTTGGCCCACAGTGAGGTACCATAGGACAAATAGCTATGAATGTGGCCATAATATATACAAATAAGGACATAATCTGAAACAGTGGACCTATAAGTGCTCTTATCATAAATATGCCTTTTACAATTTTAGATGCTACAAAATCTACATGCGAAAACCACTTCAAGTTTGACTGCAAATAAAAACCCAAAAACTTTAGAGTGTTTACATCATTACTGTTATTGCTAAGACTAATAGTCAGGTCCTGAGTCTTATCAGCATTAAGACATAACTTGTTTGCATTACACCAATAACAGCAGATTTTGTGTCCAATGTGTCTGTAACGTCATTCAAAGAGTTACCCAGTACACACAAGGCCAAGTCATCAGCAAAAAGAAAGCTTTTTACAGATAAGTCATTAATATTACAAGGTAAGTAATTTATATACAGTATAAACAGGGTAGGGCCCAATATAGAGCCTTGGGGCACTCGAACAGGGCTAGAATAAGTGCCATTTAGATAGACTTTTTGCCATCTGTCACTAAGATAAGATTGAAAAAACCCAACTAAAACAGCATCACGGTTATAGCAATAAAGCTTATTCACAAATAGATAATGAGCCACTGTGTCAAAGGCCTTAGACATGTCACGATCTAGGTTAAAGCAGGTTTACGTTTAGGTCGCCCATAAATACAATATCCTTCTTTTTTGAGTATGTTGAGAGAAGTGTGTCAATGTATTTTAAACAGTTGTCGAGGTTAGTTGATGGCGATCTATGCTCCGATGATGATAAGTTTTGGTTCTTATAGGTGCTGAGGGTTACTATTTCAGAAATTTGCACGTGATCGTCGTCTTACGTAATAGTGGCAAAACCATGAACATCTCCCGCGGCCGTGTAGACATCATCATCGCCCCCCGTGGTCACGAAAGCGTGATCGTCGTCTTACGCGATAGCGGCAAAATCATGACCATCTCCCGCGGCCGTGTAATCGTCATCATCGTCTCCAGTGGTCTCAAAAACGTGATCGTCGTCTTACGCGATAGCGGCAAAATCATGTTCATTTTCCGTGGCCGTGTGGACATCATTATTGTCTCCCACGGTCACGATACAATCTTGGACTCCTTCCGCGATAACGGATGAATGACAACTCCTACAATAACGGCGAAATAGCGAAGATCATTTGCGGTCCCTCAGATTTCATCAACACGATCGCGGCGAAAAATATTATTGGTAAAATAAATTTATGAAGAAAAAATATTTCAGGACCCAAGTGAGGCCCCCTCCTAGGCTGAAGCACAGGGAATACGGCCCTGGATAAACCCTGTCAGAGCATGTAGAAACCCTGGAAACTACCTGAAGGGAGAAGCCAATTTTTAAGTAACTCGGGGATATCAAAAACAAAATTGCTCAACTGTGAACTCATTTCATTGAATTTGGTACCTATTCAAATAATGGATGTTCAAAAAAACGATTCTGAGACTTTTTTTGGCACTCCTTCTTATCCCTCTTAGTTTCCCAAAACAGAAGACGTGACAAACACTATTTCGAGGATCTTCGTCGTCTTCAGGATCAACGCTGATTTTGTTCAAAAGATGATAACTTAATTAAAAAACATGTAATAGTAGTTCTTCACTGAAATTGTGTGTAATTTTATGTGTGACGTGAATACAAAAATTGTGAAGTGTGCCAGCCCAGCCTTAGATGAGTACTATTACGTTATATCCATAGATGAGTCAGCTCATATCAATGTGAGATATTTTAAAAACTAAAGTCTAAAGAATAAAATATACAGTGAACAATAATTGATCATTCATAAGATAAGGCAAAATCATGAGCGCACTCAAGCGTTACCTAGGTGGTTGGCTTTATTAGCGGCCATTGGGTATTCCGTGGACATTTACACAAGATGGGAAAGTTGAAAGCCTCTTATGTAGGAAATGTGGAGAGGAGGAGGAGACAGCATTCCACGTGATATTTATGTGCCCAGCCCTACAAGGTCTGCGCATGAGATCCCTTGGCCTATCGACTGGAGATCAAAGGGAAGAACGGGTCACCATTGTCAAAAGGATCTCACGGTTCACAAAGGACCTGGGATTTGACAAAGAATGAGGACCTGTGAATGAGGGTGCACAATAAGCTGTTCTAGCTGCGATGCAATCCCATGGTTACTTGAAGCCTGGCCCTCTATTAAAAAAAAGCGTTACCTAACATGACACACTATCTAAAATGAACTTAAGAATGACAAAAGAGGTTGAGAAAACCACAAACAGTATTTTTGTGTGTCCACACAAAAAGAGGCACTCAAAAGTATTTTCTAATATCATCTGTTTCTTTTACTCATTCATAACTATCATCCTTGCGGAATAAGTAATAAAAATAATATCTTTAATAATTAATAAAAGCTGCTGATTACTTACTTGATACTTGATGATGTCCCACTAGCATCGCTCCTGCGACGTGGTCGTCAAAATGGGTAGAAAACACAATAATAGGCCTAATTGAACAGATCTTCTACTTTAAAATTGGCCGCTTCACATAAATATTCCTTTAACATCTTCTTAAATTTATTGATATTTTGTTCTTGAATTATGTTCTTTGGTAGCGAGTTGTAGATCTTGACACTACTAAAATATGGGCTCTTGCAGGCCATAGTTGAGTTAACTTGAGGTACATGTACTTTACAGGTATATTATACAAATCTATACATAAGATCGGGCAGTATAATTGAAATATATCCCATTTGCTTATACAATATACTGTTTTCTTACAAGCTATTGGTTTAAAAATATTCCAGAGTCTTCATGACGTGAGAAAAAGCTAACAGCTGTTTAGGACGATTGACATTGAAGGTCATGCGCATCAATCCGTCCATCTGACCTGACCTGACCACAAGGGGTGGAGGAAGAAGTGTCGGCCATCTTATTTAGTTTCATGATTTATCATCAACGTTGGCATAATTTATATTTATAATTAGATTTATAGTGTAACAGTGAATTATATAACGGGAATTGTGTTATATGTACTTCAAGGTGTATCATCTCAAAAACCATTAACTCTCCTAGTTCCGACTATAAGTTGGGTTTGCAGATCTTGAAACCCTTGTCTCCTTTCAGCTACAATGAGTACCCGTGATGACGAATATGATTATTTGTTCAAAGGTATGTAGTTTAATCCTTAAATTCATTGTCCTAGTAGCATACTACAACTAAGGATTACCCGAATGTCAACCCCATAAAGTTGTTATTTGGCTCAGTCCAATGATGCAACTGTAAATAAATGGTTGGAAAACCTCAGTGTTTTGACATGATTAAGCCAATTTAGAGAAGCTTATTGTCACAGATCTTCTTGATATATTTAATTTATTTTAGCTGTTTTTCATACCCATAGCTACATGCTTCATTGAATATGCTAATTACTTGATAATCCGGAATGTGAGCAATTGTTCAATTAGGCCTAGCTGGTTCTAATCAAGACATTTAAAATGTCATCTGAGATAGAACAGAATGACTCATAACTGTTACAATAGGCCTATATTGAAGCTTACACCCTAATCAAATAATTAGTTTCAGAACTAATGTTCCCATACTGTTTACGTAGCCTATGAATAAACTTAGGCCTAATTATTTAACATGGACCTGCCTTTGTAATACTTGTAGTCTAGATCTTTGACCGAAGTTTTTCGGATAGGTAGATTGTGTCATTATAGCTAATATATACAATTAACAAAACTTAAGTTACTAAGTGGTAATGCAAAATTTAAATGTTTATAACTTAAAGCTAGGCTGTGGTATGCGTGTCCACAGTTAATTCAGCCTGGCATTAAAGAATCAAGAGGACATCTTGTCAAGATTGTACAGGGGCCTATTTTGAGCAAGTTCCTTGAACCTTAAGTTAGTCTTGAACGCTGTACAATCAAGGTTCTTTACGCTGTTAGGCAGGGAGTTGTAGATCTTAATTGCCGATCGAGGGTATCTCTTACGGTGTGGCTTAAGTGGCAGCGGGGCATATCTGGTCATGGGCCCTCCTTGTTCCACATTCGTGCCTTTCACCTCGAGTCTCAAAATCGCCCAGGTTTTCCTTAAGCAGGACCATATTAGCTCACCACTGTGAGGATTCACAATTCCATTAAAATACACCACTACCGGTACTTATTGTGGTGTAAAATAAGTAGGGTAAGACTAAACCCTAAGCTACAATAAAGAATCTTTGATTAGCCCAACCAATATGAAATAGGCTAACCTAGGAGAATCAGCTGACAATCTTGTTTTGTTGTTGTTGATTTAGTTTTGACTGGTCTAAAAAGGCATCAAAACTAGGCCTAACTTATGGTAGGATTCTAGTTACCATTAGATAGGCCTACTTAAGTGCATACTTCTTAGGTCATTATTTCAGAATAGCCAATTTTTAAACCAACTCTTAAGTTGGAATATTGTGCTTGTAAGAGTAAGTACGAATTTAGACCTACGTGTGATAAGTTAGTGATTGACGGATGACCCCCCTCCCCCCCCAAAATAGGCTACATAGTACAGACTTACAGGCATAGGTATCTTCAATGAAAGATTTAATTTACATACCGTACTTAGGTTACTCTTACCGACATGCTCACATTGCCTTCAATTAAAAATATCATATCTAAAGGTAGGCCTACTGCCTTGATTTAGTAGACCTACACTCCAGCAGTTCATGCCAAAAAATAAATCAGCTTTCTTTTTTCTAAATTTAAACTACCGGTACTGTAATGTTGAATGCAAATATTGCCAATGAACTCCATGTTGAATGCAAATATTGCTAATGAACTCCAGCTATCTTTGTTCGCTAAATTATTGTCTTATCATGTCTAGGGAAAGTGACATGGATAATTTAACACGTTCGATACTGAGCGTCGCATATATGCGATGCCGCGGTCATTGCCACAGACCGAGGTATACATTTGAATCTTGCGCATAGACCGGCTGTCACTTGGTTAACAGTAGGCCTACACACAGACCACGGGCGAAAACCTGTAAAACAGCGATCATTTACATTGTAATACGCTACAATCGTGTTTGTAAATAATTTTTCTTGTTTTTTTTTGTATTTTGTATAACCTTTTGTAATGTTGCATATTTGCGACGCCCGGTCTACAGCGAAGACAATAGTGAAAATGATCATAGTTTTCTTGAAATAGACAAAACGTCGCATATATGCGACAGTCCATTTTTGGTTGTGTTTTGAGGTGAAAGTAAGTAAACAAAACATATTATTTAAGAACAGTTTATAACTGAACAAATATAAAAGCTACATAGGATAATGCAGCATACATAGGTACATACAGTGATGCAGAAAAGTAAAGACCAGTTTTTTCAACTATCATTATGACGTCACCAATCATCATATCCACAGACCAAGCGAGGCAGTTGTGCGTCAAACATCTCTGTAGACCACTGCAGGGAATTTAGTGCCTTCAAATAGACCGTTACAAAGATATAGGCCTAAGCATTTTAATAAAATTAGAATTCCGACGCAAATATGTGACATGCGACGACAGTCTATGAGTGGAAACCGGCCGTCGCATATGTGCGTCGCTGGTCCATGCGAATAGAAAATTTCGTACTATTGCAATAGCGAACGTGTTAATACCTGATTCATTTGCATTTGTAGGCTTAAGAGGCCGGTGTTTCTCGGTCTGCTAGTGAGAGCCGTGTTAAGTCGGTATTTAGGCCTACATTATTTCGGAAACCAGACGTTTAGTCTATTCTATAATGAGGCAACCCCAGTGGCAAAGCTGAGAGCGAGATGTAATTACCTAGTTGATTGGTCTTAACAGTGTTTTTCAAAACCGGTGAACACTCAACAACTAATAGGCCTATCTGTCTAAAGTTGGAACTTTTAGAGCAGTCTCCTAACCTGAAAAGAGGTACCTACTGTATAACCATGACGATTTTGCACCACTCCGGATACTTGTTAGGATGTACCTACATAAAAGTGGCTGTTATATTGACTCCAAGTTTACTTATGTGAGCGTGTCGAACTATCAAAATGTCGAACTATAGGGAATAAATGGAGTTTAATATACAGGAAAGTAAAAATACTAGTTTTATATAGAAATTACCTAAATTTATTAAATAGGTACTAAAAAGCTTAACAATTTCACTGTTTGTAAGTCTCAAGTCAACAATAAATGACAAATTAATAGATATTCAAGTCAACTTACATCACAATAGTAAGCCATTGAATATCACTTGGCAAAATATTTTGTGATCTTCAATTGTTTTTCACTCTGATAACTGGAAAGAACGGGTCCCGGTCATTGACCGGTGTACGTATCAAAACAAAATATCGATCGCTAATGTTTATACGGGTAGCCTCAGTCCGTATCGAACTACAAGGAGTGTCGAACTATCGAGCGTCGAACTATTGAAGGTTTACTGTAACTTAATTATAAAGGAGAAATAGAAAGTACAATTGTAAATTAAAACCTATTTTATTAAACAAAAATTTAGTAGGTCTACATAAACATTTCTGAATAGAATAATTTTGCTAAGTGTTTGCTGCAGACCTATGTTTGATGTAAACTCGATACTTTTTTCTTTCAATGTGTAATGACAATGTAGGCCTATTTAAAAAAATTGGTCAGAAAAAAGCAAACGAAAAAATAGGCCTATCGCATTTACGTCAAACATCTACGGTAAAAACTGGACAATTGTAGTCGGGGTTTAAAGAGTTCAAATTTGTTATTTTCTGTAAGAAAAGAAACAGACATAAAGTTTAGAATAGTAAAAAGAGTTTGACATGCATTAGCAATATTTCATATCTATATTTCAACAGAGCAGCAACTGAGAAAGGTGGATTTAATAATGGTGAGTGTATGGGCTGGCGTCGCTACTGCCAGTAGATGGTGGGGGGAGCTAGACCAAAAACAGTGCCCGCAGTGCTACTGAGAGCGCAATCCAGTAGTTCTTTACTCGTTGGTTTGATAACTGGGAAAAAATAACATTTTGCTTGACTTTTACCCTAGCTGAATAATTTTTCTCTTTAATTACCATTCATGCTGCTGGAAACAAAAAATACCATGTCCTTTTTCTTTTATCGGAAATTGATTAGCCCATTTGCAAAGTTAAGTGTGTAAATTTGCAATATGCGAAATCAGAATTTTAATCAATTCAACCAAAGCATCATAGACCAATTAAAACTCATCTCACAAGAAAAAATTACTACTGTTATGTACTGTACTGCGAAAGATTTTTAATGTATGATATTTATTTTTTTTTTATTTATTTATTATCATCACATTACATCAATGATTGACAGGTGATTTGTCATCAAACTAAAATCGATTACAACAAAACAACAATCATAATATTAAAAATAATTATACATTTGTTAGGAAATCTTCCAGTGAAAAAATGCCTTCTCCAGAAGCCATATCTTAAGTGTTTTTTTAAATTTCAATATGCAATCAATTTCTTTTATTGTTGAAGGCAGCTTATTATAAATTTTGGGTCCCATATATTGTGGGGATAAATGAAATAATTTTAGTCTATGTTGCATTGGTTTTATTATTTTTTTGTATCTTGTATCATGTTTGTGAGAGGGCTGTCTCTCCATAAGTGTATCCAAGTTACTCTTGACCATCATAGAAATATAATAAATATAAGAGCTGTATAAAGTGAGAATTTTGAACCGACTGAAATATTCTTGGCAATGTGTATCTGGAGGAACCTTGGCTATATGTCTAATCGCCCCTTTTTTGTAGAATAAACACTTTTTTGCTTTCACCCCATAAAATAAGTCCGTAATTCATAATTGAAGCAAAATAAGCATGATATACTGCAATTTGGGTGTCAAAATTTGTTGTATCTCTAATTACTTGTAATACAAATACAGCTGAATTAAGTCTTTTTGATAAATTTTTAATGTGAGTTTGCCAATTTAAATGTGAGTCTATTTTTATTCCTAAATAATCAACTGAATCTTGAGAAACTATCAAATTTGAATTTGAATTTAGGGTGATCTCATCTTTTATATTGGAGGCAGAGAATTGTATCAGCTGTGTTTTGGATACATTCATGGAGAGGCCGTTGACAGCAAACCAGTCCTCAAGAGAATGGAGCTCTCTGGTGATTGTGTGAATAATGTCGACACCTTTTTGCTCTTTGCAAATGATTGCTGTATCATC